GTTACGTTGTACATTGCTTGTTTCATTTTTATATTTTTCATTATAATGCAATTTTAAAGCAGCCTCCACGTTCGTGCTAAAATTAAAACAAACTTGGGACGACAATTTTTTCTAGCGCGCATAATCCGGATGATCCGACCTTACACGGTGAGTGAAGTTGTCAGGATCAAAGATCTCATCATCCGATTAATTGAGAGGTTAAAGGGTTTAATAGGCCGCGCGGAACCGTCCGTTCGCCGTACGATGAGAGTCGGTTCCCTGACGTGCTCGCTTTTTCGCGCGATCGTCGACCGATCACCGTCCCCTCGTCGTTGCGTAACCGTGCCATGGCTGTTCTAAGCCCACGCTATTATTTTTGCATTCTGCTGTCATCTCGCCGAGATTCTCGCGCGCCGCGTTTCGTCCGGGAATGCCGATCGATGAATTATGTATATGCGCGCCGCCGATTTGCTGCTGACATCCTACAGTTCTCGGCTGAATATATCGTCCTCTACGGATCCCCACGTGATGCAAAAAAAAACTACGGAGGCGTTCCACAAGGCGAGAGTTTTTTCCGGATTGCAGAAATTATAACGTATGTGAGTGACGACGCAGATGTCATACTGATATCGTGACAAAGCAAAGTATATTAAAAATAAAAGAGAAATTTCAAATTTTTGTTTAGAAACTACAAAGTGATATTAAACTATATGTTGTTTATATCAAAGAAATCAAATAAATATGTATATTAAATCCAAAGCAACTTTTTTCTTTATGTAGCGTTGGTTTCTTTTATGGGCCCTCAATTATGTAAATTGATTGAATATCACACAGAACCTTTGTTCATTTAATTGACTAAATTTCCAAGGTACAAAGTTGAAATTCAAAGAGTCAATCGGCACGACGTCGCGATGTGCCCCTATGAACGATAAATCGCGATAATCGCCGCGGAATATCGTAGCCGTGCATTGCGCGGTCAGTGTTGGTGCGTACGTAGGATTCGGGTCAGTGCATTCGCGGAAACACCTGAATTTTGCAGTACCGTTAATTACGCCGGCTAACGCACACTACCTGCGACTCGCCGCGCCGCACGTTCCTGGGGAACACATTGTAAACATTTTCATCGTAATTAATACTCTCCGGCGCACGCGCTCAATCTTTATTCTCGTTTGCATATCACATATAAGCGGAGCTTTTTAATGGGGATAAATTTTCAGGAAGAGAGAGAGAATGGATTCAATTGCTAACGATTGATACATTCTTCTTTCTTACACATGCACCGTCTTGGCTATGTCACCACTACGACATTTCAATCGATTTCATTATCAACGCGCAAATATAAATTTTCACGCGGTGAAATAATAGAAATATCTTTATCCGTGCGTGCAATTATTTTTTCGAAGCGATATATTAAAGCAACCCGACGATTAACCCTTTAGCTAAGCTGGACGCAGAACTCGACTACTGTAAGCAGAGCTTTACCGCTGAAGGCTTGTGATGGATAATAACAGAGAACGCGATTGTTATTTCACACTATATAATTTTTTGTATCTTCGTCGGTACGAAGCAATCAATTAATAAAATTTGTAATTGATACGATGTCAATAAAAGTAAACGAATTGCTGTTTAGCAAAAATAAACTATCCAATGGTTTTAGAAGAGAGCCACTGCAGTGGCGTTTCGTCCTAAACGATTGCTCAGCGGGAAGCCACTATAATGGCATGTAGAAGCCAAAGGTTTAATACGGAGTCTTAATGAGTCGAATAAGAAATAAGGAAGGCCGATCAGAGGCAAATCGCGTGAAGATGTTCGCGCGTAAATAATATACAAACTTCAAAATGATAAGTTTCCAACTCTTTTAAGTCGAAGCGCATTTATCAAACAACTATTAAATATAATAATATATTATAAATATAGTATAGATTTAATATAATTAAGTCAACTCTAAACATAATTAAGAATATTTCAGGCAAAATCATTGACAATACTTTAAGAATGAAATTAAGATAATAAAAAGCAGTAATAAATAATATATTTTTCACTGTTTTTGTCGTTAGATTTCTCTGATAGAAATAGTTGCTATTATTAACCGACTTTTGCAGCAGAATTTTATCGATTTGTAGTGCTATATTTATAACTACGATCACTAGTGACTATTGACCGCTTCTCAATGATAACACACTGATTGCACTTTAGAGAAAATCGAACGTTTTAGTCGTCCACAAAGATCGATCGCACGACTTTCTCCCGGAAAAAAAGAAAAAAAAAAAATGCGAGAACTTTCTTCCGCCCTGCTGCTTAATATCTCTTAATCACGAGTCAATTTAACGCCGTCGTCGACATCAGGAGTGATTCACGCGTGTTTCGTTAGGAGGTCGACGCGTGCGGTGTGGGAGTTATCTACAATCTAAAAGTAGAATTCCAGCCGGGGGGCTTGAAAGCGCGCTCGCGTGGGAACCATTAGAACGCCAGAAGAGAGCGCTCGAAGCCGCGACAGTTTAATTCAATTTACGCCGCTCGCGCGGTCTTATTGCCTCGCGCAGACTACCCTCCCCACGACGACGATGTTCGCGAGCGACCTGGCAAGCGATCTTCTTTTAACTCTCCGAGTCCTGACTTTTCATTTTGGGAAGTACGATGGATAAAATGGACCGACTTTGGTCCCCGGCCATGAAGAATTAAAAAATGTATGAAAATTTATTTGTTTTTTATATAGGATAAGAAAACTATGGCTGGATAGTTTCCAGAAGCATTCTGTTGAATAACGTAGAAATAGAGATCAAATCAATCAAAATATTCTCTTTATAGAGATATTACATATATATCGTAAACTTAGGAATAGACCAGGATTCAAAAGATTCATTAATATTCATTCCTTGCCGATTTGAATGCGTCGATGAATTATACCCGTGTAATGGCTCGACGAAACGACGTTGAATCTGTTCGGGCCTCTTTTTACAGATTCGCGGATATTATTCGCGTTACTCAGTTATATTCTGCCTCCTGCATCCCGCGCGATCGCATATCGTTTCGCGAATATTTATCGTCGGGTTTGCCCTTTATTTTCGCCACATGATACATCGTTCACTAAAAACCGATCGTTCGCCGGAAAATACGTAATTTACGTTGATCCGATCGCCACTTCCGATAAGCAACACGGTTTTTCGCATTTTCGTTTAAGCTCGCTCCATTAATCGTGCTTTGTTTAATTTGCATCAGCCGGGTTGGCCGGCCAACGTGGCGTCGCTACGCATTTAATAACCCACGCGCCCGCGAGGCGGGTTTTCGAATCGAGTCTTGTTAATTGTACCAAATTACATTATCGAAACGCGTTATCGCGATCTCATCCGAAAGAGAGGAGAGACGCTGACAGCCGTCGTAAAAATGCGTTTATACACAAAGGATGTTTAATATTAACCAATGAAAATTCGCAGCCGTTTGGAAGATTTATGTGCAGTGCGTAATAAAACCTGAAATGAAATCTAGACTTTTGTCATTTTTCCCCTTTTTCCTTATTTTGTGAAAAGTTATTTCGTTGTTATATTTTCTATCAATATTTTAGCGGGGATTTTAAATTTGACTTGCTGAAGCATCACATTTCATATTTGTAAACACGTCACAATCTACTAAATTCCATTCCGCCTAAAATATGGCGAATTTTAAGGAGTTTGCATGTTTTAACGGAGAAGTTGAACTGCTATTTTTATTACTGAAAAACGTTTTCGAGAGACGCATCAGCGATAATTTGTAATTTCATAATTTATGGTACTAAGTTATTGACTTAGGTTTATTTTGGACAACTTAAAATTCGGGATAAAATGTACATACTCAAAATTTTTATCAAAAATAGAATTTTATCCAATGTGTTGATGGGAGTTTCCATTCATCCGAGATTCTTAAAATTTGTCGCGAATTATTATAGAGCTATCGCCGACGTCATCCTGAGAATATTTTTGTAGATCGAACTGCAAATCGACCGTTAAGGAAATCTTTAACACTAGAACTGCGGCTGTCATTTTTGACTTACTTATAGATTCTTTCTTCCCATTTCTTTGAATTTTTTGAACCACTGTGAAGCTTTCTTTATCACAAAACAATTAAACAATATCATTAAGCTAAAAACATCAATGGGTAATTATAAAAAACGAGATAGGTCGAAAATGACCTGAAATGGTTTTAGGAAAGAAAAAATTGTCGCGGTTCTAGTGTTAAGATACATTTTGTAAAACTAACGTAATAGGTGAGAGCCTCGTATAGGTTTTGTAATAGTTGACGCTATTCTTCATCGCGAGTAAGCATGAGCATATTAAATTTCCTTAAGCACTCGCGGCTTTCTTAGCGATTCCACGCACGAGCCTGTGGCGCATTACAATATTTAATGTCCTCGAGTACAGGAACTAAATTAATTCGTGCCGGATATCGGTCAACTACCGGAAATTCCATGGACGATGGAACGTGCTGGCGCGGCGTCAGACGCTCGTTGCGCGCCTTCTGCCATTTATTGCCGATCGACGAGATTTCCGGAACGCGGTCGAATTCGAAATGGCGAATTTAGCCCTGGCAATTTTAATTCTAAATTTTGCACCGTATTTCAAGAACGGACTCGTAATTTCTCGTCGACGTTGCGAGAGAGGAATTTTCAAACTTTTTTCCGATTTGCGTTAATCTTTACGATATAAATGAACATTATCTTGGTAATCCGAGTCGGAAATTGTGTATGTAGTATCTTTTAAGTCCAATGGAATTCATAGTAATAGGAATGAAAATTTCAACTTAAGAGTGTGAAAAATATTCGACATTTTCAAAAATTATGAATCACTTTTAATTGACTGCTTTCATCGCAATTTTGCAATTATCCTTCGTTAAATATGAAGAAAATATGAAAAAACAATTTCTATCACACGCGAGTGTTCAAAGCAGCTCCGAAATCTGATTTAATCTATCCGTAATATTTCCCGTTCCAGAATAGCTCACTTCTCTCGATAGGATGCGTTCGAGAGCGCCGCGCGACAGGAGGGAAAATGTGCGATGAAATCGTCCCGAGGAGCCAAACCGGCGGCATTCCCTACGCCGACGAAGATGCGGATGTCGCTTCATGGCTTACGGGGTTGACGAACGCGGAGGCGTATTCACGAGACGTGCAGAGCTTCACGACCTTCCGTGCTTCCGGTCCGTCGGGGATCGCAAGGCGGGAATTGCCCGGCGCGATGTCGGAGTCGCCTAAGCAGCGTCACACGAGGCAATCGTCGTCCGTCCTCCCGAAGAGGCACGAGGGGGCAAGAATCGAGGTCGAGAGCGCGCTGCAGCGCTACGAGAACGCGCTGCTGAAGTACCAGAAACCGAAGCTACGGCCCAAACGACAGATCAGTCGAGAGCGCCAGCAGCAGAGCAACAACTGTTCGAGCAGCGACGAGAGCGTCGCGAGGAACAAATCGAAGAGCACCAGTTCGATCGACACTCAGTCAGTGAACAACATCTTGGACGAGTACGAGGATCTAGATTACCGTCGTTCGTCGGAGCTGAGCGACGTCGGTAGCATCAGCGTGACGAACTTCGAGGCGGTGATGATGGATCAGCAAAAGCGACAGAGCAAGTCGACGAAGATTCAGCCGGTGCTGAAGGTGAACCAACAGACCCAGGTGAGACAACGGTCACGGGACAGGCAGGAGACGACGGTCGAGAGCGGTCGCACGAAGATGCCCGAGATTCTGCTGCGCAAGGGCGAGGTACAGAAGCGAGTGGACGAGTGGCTGAACCAAGCGCAGAGTCAAAACTTCCCGGCGACTCGCGAGAAGCCGCTGACGCGGTCCAACAGCAGCGCCGAGCAGAAGAGCCAGCGCAGGTACCACTCCAGGTCGAACGACGAGGCGAAGGAGCGGCTGAACGGCGGCGCCTCGTCGAGCTACGACGACCTGAGCCGCGTGGATCGCAAGGCGGACAAGGTGAACAAGATCGTCTACAAGGAGTACTTAGCCGTGAAGAACAGGCACGGGGGTTCCGGCCCAGCTTCGAGGATCCCGCAGAGACGCGCCGAGGAGACGCTCGAAGAGCGGAATGGCCGGTCGAGCAGGATGACGAATTTGGCGAGGGGCGATCGCCTCGCTACCGTCGCGTCGATTATTCCCTGCAGGAGGCCGTCGTTGAAGCGCTCCGATCAGAGCGCAGCGCGGCGCGTTAAGGAGGAGACGGCGAAGGGCGACCAAGGCGAGCCGATCTCACCAAATAAGGACGGAGAAAGTAGGCGGCCCGCCGATAAAGCGGTCGAGGCGGTCCGCTGTAAATCGACGGAAGCGCCGAGGTGCGCCGAGCATCCTCGAGACTCGACGGAGAGCTCGCGACGCCGGCTTCAGACGGCCGACGTCCGCAGAGAGGCGAAAATCGATCGGCGGGAGATCTACGGCGCGGTGGGTGCTCGAGTGCGGGCTTTTCAGGCGGAGCAGAGCCGAACGTCGAGCTTCAAGCCGAACGACCGAGCCTACACCTCGGCGAGTCTGAACGAACGGAATGTCGCAAGGTCTAAGGCGCGCGGTTACGCCAGCCCGGACCACGTCGAGAGGATCTATGAGCGCGCTCTGCAGCCGCAGGTGATCCACGCGGACGACCTCGAGTCGGTGCTCCGGCCGGCGCTGCAGATGTCGGCTTACGGCGAGAAAGCCAGGGAAGGCCGGCAGTCGCCCGTGAAGGCGCTCGAGAGCGAGCTGTTCGAGTCGCGGCATCCCGAGCATCTCGAGACCATCGAAGAGGATGATCGGAAAAGCGAAAGTTCGGCCTGCAGGTATCCCGAGATCGGGCTCAAGCAGTGTCTGAAAGTGCAGCAGAACGGCAGGATCAAGTGGGACCGACAGCAGGTTGACGAACCTGCCAGGACTTTCGCCACCTTTCGCCAGGGTGGCGCGCCGTCCCGATCTTCGGAGATGATCGAGGAAGTCGGAAGCAAGCCGACGATGGACCGGCTGACGATCCATTCGCGAGAGAATAGCGATCTGTCCACCGTCCTCGCGATTCCTTTGGACGAGTTGTTGGAAAGTCAAGAGGACTCGAACAGGTTTCAGATTGGCGAGAAGGATCGAACGATCGAAGAGCTCGCGAAGGATGTGGACCGCGGTGCGGTGGTTAGCGAGGTTCTTGTTAAGAATCTGCAATTCCAGCAGGATCTGCCGGGGGACTCGGCTGAGCAACCGGATCTGCAGCAAGTGAGTTCTCACGATGTGTTGTGCGACGATTATGAAAATGACGGCAAACGGAAGGATAGGAAGATGTGCTTGACGAAGGAGCAAACGGATCATCAGAGATTAATAGCTGTGCTGAAGAAAGGCGACTTCGAGATGCTGAAAGTGGTGAGTGCTCTGCGATATTTTTCATTCCCCAGTCGAGATTCCACATCGAGTCTTCGAAGGTAACTATTCAAATCAAAGTCTTTCATTGCGCTTCCTTTGATAATGGAAAGTTATTTTCGTTTTCTCCACTGAAAGATTTCACGTAGTCTAAATAGACTTAATGTGGAACTAAAACTTCGACTAGGTATGTTTCTCCCGTGAATTCTGTCAGCACAAATTCGACTCTTTGTCGCGCACTTTCACATATCAATCGAACTCTTTACGTTTGAGTGAGAAGTGACTGTGTGTGAAATCTATACGTATCTCAATAACACTACTTGTGTTTACGTATTAAGATACCTTATATCAGACTATTTTAAGTTTAGCCTGTTTACGGTGATTACATATTCATTAAGTCGATTCATTTCAATTTCGTTAAGTCGCTAGTTCTTCGTAGCAAAAAAGCTCCATATGCCGAAGGTTAATTCCATACCTTGAAGTGGAATTAATGAGATTTTCGAATATCACGCGAGATCACGTTAATACGTTTTGTCTTCGTATAATCGGCGAGAGCACGTAAAAAATTAATTGCATCGTATGATCGGCACATACTCATCAGCGGTGATTTAAATCGGCTGAAAAAAGCAAGCGAAAAAAAAATAAGTACAGGCGCCCGCGGACGAAATTCAATTCTGGCGAATCGACGCGACGAAATGCGCGGTTCGGTCGATTGTTTCTCCGCCGCGAACTACCTCGTTTTAATCGCGATAAAACTCCTCGACAAGATATGCCTGACAGTAAGCCAATAATTACGCTCGCTGCTACACGATAGTCCACGCGACGAATCTGCGGCTCTTTTGGTAATTACAAGCCCGGAGTATAATCGAGGTTGCTCGTTTCGTTCGGCTCTTTATTTCGATCGGGCAACAAATACGGCCAAATTGCCGTTACACAACGCCCCAATGCTGTTTACGTGTCGCCGCGTTGTCAATGAACGGTCGGTTATTTCCATGTGAATTTTAACTTCCTGAATTCCGGCAGAAATAACGAGCAGAGTTAATGGAGATAATGTCGCTGGAATAGATACAATACCGCAATATTTCACGGTATCGAGAGATCGACTGGAAATCGTGTGAAAATTCTGAAAAATAGCGACTCATCACAATCGGTGGATATTTAATTAATATACAGAGAGGATATTGTAGCTTTTTCCTGTTAATGATTTTCAATTTTACCATGTTTCCCAATAATGCAATAGGTTATCAGTAGAGTTTATCTTGTCAAGTAACATAGTACATTTCTTAATAATAGAGAGTTTACTTCCTAAAATATAAATAGTACGGAAGAATAAGTAAATCAATACATTTATTTATTAACAAGAAACAGTCCTTTGAAAAAAAAAAAAAAAATACAATTTGTAAGAAAAAAGAGAAACTTCAAATAATAAAATAAATTAATTAAGCCAGAATGTCGACACGTTTCTCGGTTACAAAATTCGATGTGATCATTTTTAAAATAAAATTCTTTCCATGAATATTAAAAAAAAAAAGAAAATATCATGGATAATGTTATATTAAACAAAATCATTTACCAAAAATTGTGTGATTATATTTAAAATCTTCGCCGACAATCGCGAGCATGCGGACGCAATCTGATGTAAGCGTAACGAAAATCGAATTCCAGAAAGCTTTTCCGAAGTGAAGAAATAACGACTGATAATTACGGTTTAACAGAGTTGCGCTAATTACAATTGACCTCGCGTTGCTTAATTATTCTTATGGCCATTTTTAAGGAAGAACATGTCGTATTGCACACCGCGCGTTTATGCATGCTGTAAAAGATGCGGTGTTGACAAAGTCGACCACCTTGTACACGTGAAATGTCGTCGGCGGAATAAGCGGTAATCACGTGCCTCTTAGTAACGTTAGTTGTCATAAAAGAGAACCGTGACGTAATGTAATTATCAAGTTTCGCGTCGCGGTCGTCGTAAACGTGATGTAATGGGGTTGCGCGCGTGTCTCGGTATATCAAATTTTCCCCGAGAGAGTAATATTTCATTCCCAGCGGAATGAGGGTGTGGAAAAGGATAATTCGCAGGACCACGACGCGAAATATAGGGATGCGCAAAAAATCGGCCAGCGCTCGCGCCGCCTAATGCTCGGCGTTCTTCTAATATCGACAGATTGAGTTATTTGATGTTATTGATAAAATAGAAAGATATATTATTTTAATATCTACATATCTTTTAACACAGCAGAATGTTTACTCAAACCTGAACAAAAAATCCCCAGATTCTCCAGGCAATTTGTTAAAAATTCCAGGTAAAATGAAAGTTAATTTTTAAATATATCTTGCAAATGAATATATTGTGTAGTGTCTTCAACATTTTTCACTGTTAAAAATTTATAATCGTAAAATAAAATTAAGATTCGCTTGAATTTCAATGATTAAATTTGAAGATTTTTGAAAGAACCCGTATAAAGACTCTAAAAATTAGATATTTTATATTGCATAAAATTTTTTAATTTTACTCTCAAAAGTTACAAACAAAAAATGACATAATGTATAACCGATACAAAGTATAACTTTTATAAAACTATTAAAATAAATATTTGTATTAATTAAATAAGGTTGTATCTAACACGAAATTATTGTCTTCAATATCAGATATCGGATTAGTCGTAAAGTGTGCTCTAACATCATAGCGATATAATTAAATATTTAAATTATTTATGTAGGTGTAGGAGAAAATACTTTGTACAGTAAATGTAAAATATTTATTTCTAAATATTTGTCCCATCTAAAAAACGAAAGGGAGAGAGAGAGAGAGAGAGAGAGAGGGAAATTTTCTATGCCGAAAAGGTTTGTAAGATTACAGCATTTATCCACTCGATTTTTCTATTAGTTTTGACACGATATAGAATGTCTTCTTTGCAAAGAAGACACAACACAGAAGAGAGAACAGAATTTCCAATCCGAGGGCAAATGCGAAAGTTGATTTAGAAGTCCTGGAAAATCGGCGAAAAAATATTTTCTAGTTTCATGCGTGTCAACACAGAGGGACGCCTCTTCAACAACAACAGTCCGCCTTTGACGCAAAAACATCGTCCTTGTTTGGAAGGTACTAGCTGCATAGCGATATGCTGCAAGTATTCGGCTGCACGCACGCGGTCATACACGCGCGTCACAAATGGAGCGTATCATAAACAGGCGGAGGGTAAAGGCGAGCGGTAAAAGCGCGGAGCAAAGGTTTAAATAACTAGCGCGAACGAGGACTCGCGCATATCCCCGAGCCTGGACGTTGCCTCTCTCGTGGCCGTTCTCTCTGGGAGGTGCAGAACGGAGAGAATCTCTCTCTCGACTCGCGTAAGAAATAAGGGTGACCGTGGTGGACCATGGAGGTGCGCGCGCGTGTGAGAGAGGAAAGGAGAGAGCCGCACGATTTATGATTCGACCCAGCTGGGAACGGTTCATAGTACGCTTTAACGCGCAAGAAAGACGCAATAAATTGCTCCACGCGTGCAAGTACGTCTCGACGATGGGCTCGGGGGTAAACGGGAGACTCGCCCTTAACGAGGTGCACTCTTCCCTGCGACGTTGACCCTCAAGGACGCCGTGAACTCATTTTCTTCCATCTGCGTTCCGCGCGGCTATGCAAATTCGGTTTAACGTGTCATCGCGCGCCGTCGACGGAGCAACGGAGGAAATTTGTGCCGTATATACGACGCGAATGCGCCTTCGATATTTATTGTATATTGGAAAAAGGCGGAAAGGCGCGATTATATCTTCGAGGGATTACACGGACTTATCGAAATTCAAATCTTATTCGGCTACCGTTTTTATTATTTTTCATTCTCAAAAATTCTCGAAGAAATTCCTCAATCTTATACGGTAAACATATTGCAGCTTTTTCGTATAAATTCTTTGTAATTTCATCATATTTTCTAGTAACGCGGAAATAAACTGCCGATAGAGTTTATTTCGCTAAGGCATAAACATGGCAACTTTTGTTAAAAGAATATGGTACATTTTTTAATAGATCTGTTTCATAAAATATAGATAGCGTATATGAGACGGATAAATAATAAAGCAAGACGGGACGTCGATATGTCTGTTGGATACAAAATTCTATAGAAATTTTTACAAAAATTCTCCTCTGTTGATTCTGTAGATTCCGAAGTTTTTAGAACGAAACGAGACGAAAAAGTGGAATAAAATTTACATAAAATTCGAATAAAATCATCAATCTTAGCACTCTCTTTGCGGAGTCGTTTCTCAACACTGCTGCGATTTTTTTCCGTTAACGGCGCGACGCACGAATTCCGGGGCCTGACACGCGAGATAAGTGGCGCAATTCCTGCGGCCGTCGTTATGCGCGACGGTACGTATCGTCGTCGTGGCGCATGCATCAACGATTTATCGTGCACCATACAGTCCTCCCTCTCGAAAGTTCATCGCAGCCCAGGGAAAGCGAGTTTTCGCGAATGTAGGCGGCATTCGCATGCTGGCGTTTTAATAGGACAGATTAATACGCCGCTTTTCTCTGATTCGAAACGGATGGACGTCTTGTCCTCTCATTCACCATCTCACCCTCCCTCTCTCTCTCTCCCTCGATTAAGTCCAAGCGCACTGTCAACCGCAGTCCTCGATATAAAGCACTCGGGCATTCGCTCGATCGCTGCTCTGAAAGGATCTATATATCCCGATTTCCACTCGGATTCTGCATCTCGTAATTCTCGCGCCGGCCTGGAAGTCTCAATACCACCTCGGTGTCTACAAACTGAAAAAAGAACCCGGAAAACGTAAAATTCTCGGTCAAATTCCTTTCTACGGGAAAATCCGGAAATTTGATCGACACACGGAAAATTTTTGCTCGTCTCTTCTTCGAGGATTTCGCCTTTATTTTGGCAAAAGCTGAAAATCACATGAGAACCCTGCTGGGGTTCTTTAAATCCAATATCGGAGGAAACTGAGTGACTTTTAATTTTTTCCACATGGTCATACGAGCGATCGTCGAAAGCTGTGACTCGCTCGGCGCTTTCCCGCCTTTGTTAATATCTCGAGGAAAGCCACTGATAGAATTT